CTCAAGAAGCTGACACCCTCCGCGAGCTGTACACCAAGTCTTTCCCCGACCTGTATCGCTTCAGTGTTCAGAACTTAGAATTCAAGATGGAGATGCTGGAGGCCTCCGTGGTCATGCAGAGTATCAACATGCTCCAAGGCCTGATCCCTCCGAAGGTAGGTCCTCCCGCCCCGCGGCTCTCAGGAGCCCGGCTTGGAGCACAGCGTCTGAGACTGACCATCAGCCACGGGCCCGGTCTGTCCAACACGGGCCCTGCGTGTTTTTTCTTCATTCACATGATGATTGGTTTATCATGTAGTTTCAGGTTCCCAAACAGCCGCTATTGAGCCAGTAAGCATCCCGCATTTATTTAAGAGGCCCACTCTAGAGACCCGTTCCAGTTTGTTCCACGCATCCTTTTGCTTCTCGTCTTGGGGGACATGGCCCTTTTTGAGGGTGATCGCTTCCCGTCTTTCATTGTCTAAATTATCCTGCTTTAGTTATTAGGACTAAATGATGGCGCCTTGACATTGTGTAGGCGTGTCGCCCTGGTGCGTCCAGGTAAGTCCAGGTGCGTGTCGCCCAGTCGTCACCGGCATGAAGTGCACCCTAGAAGTCTGTGCTGTCCTCGGACACCTCCATGCAAAGTGTCGATCGGGGAGTCAGGTCACCGCGGGCTTTCTGCTGTCCTCAGGAGCAAGGCGTGGAGGTGACGGCAGAGCACCTGGGAAGGCTGTACGTGTTCGCCCTGATGTGGAGCGTGGGGGCCGTGCTGGAGCTGGGCGGCCGGCGCCGGCTGGAGCACTGGCTGGGCACCCAGGAAGCGCTGGCCTTGGACCTGCCGCCGCTGCTGGCGCCCGAGGACTCCATGTTTGACTATTACGTCACCGCCAGGGGTGAGGTTGCGCTTCCTTCAAATACAGCAGGCGGGGCGGGTATTGTCCTAATGAGTGATGGCCATGCACACAGGGTGTGTATATATACAGGCACACACACATGCAGATGTGTATACACACACACACACATATACACACGCACACACAAAATATATACATACACATGTATACACGCACCATATCTACAGGCATGCGTGTGCGTGGACATGTAAACACACATTCCCCTAAATGGTCAAACTATCAGTAAAATGGAAACACACGTTTTCATGTGTGAAGACCAGTGAAATCTTTATTTTCACAGTTTGATAGGGTTCCAAACGCACATTTGCCCCTGTTGAATGTATGGTGAGCTGAACATTTACTACTTTAAAACAAATTTAAAAAATTAGGTCTATTTCAGCTATCCCTTTGCTATCATTAGTCATTTACATAAAAATTACGAAGTGTGAAGTATGATTTTACCGGATATTTGTGTGTTGCCAGGCATCGGTGCTGCTCTGAGTTTGTTTCTATGTGCACGGTAAATGTAAGGTGCGCGTATGCACGACAGTTATGTATTGTTTACTTTGGATCTTTTCAGTCTTTACAACTAGGAAGTGTGTCATGAAAAACTTGTCAGATTAGATATTTCAAATGATTTTAGATTTTAGATACTTGCTTCTGTTACTGTGTTCTGAAGTTTTAGAGACACTTTATGTTTTTGAAAACCTACTCATTCAAAAAGAAAATTTGGGCCTCCCACGTAGCCTAAAGTTAAGTCTCAGCATTATCACTGCGAGGGCCTAAGTTCCATCCCTGGCCAGGGAGTGACCCACAGGATGCAACAGACCTCTCCTGTCTCCCCGCTGCTCCAGTCAGCAGTGTGTTTCAGTAGATCTGCCTGTTCTGCTCCCCACCTGGTCTCTTGTGATTCCTCTCACTGCCCCTGCACTTCTGGCCTGCACCAAAGTTTTTTTATGCAAAAATTACAAAAAAAAAAAAAAAGAAAGAAAGAAAGAAAGAAAATGAAAAAAAAAAAAGTACTTGCAAGAGTTTTCCAACACCACCTCTTAGAAATAATTACTTAGGAAGTGTCAGCTTTGCTGACAGACTCGTGGATGCTTAGATCTCAGGTACTGGTGATCTTTTGGGAAGATGCTCCTTGGGGTCAGGACCTTCAGCACAGCTGAGGTCACATTGTTATCAAAGGCCATGGAGATGCAGACCTCTCTGTTCACGCAGGGGGCTGGGCGCACTGGAACTCCTGCACAGAGGAGTACGGGTATCCATCTGATGTCACCCCAGAATACAGCTCCATCCTGGTGCCAAACGTGGACAACGTGAGGACTGACTTTCTCATCAAAACCATCGCGAAGCAAGGCAAGGTATGATCCATTTCATAAGAAAAAAAATCTATTTCTAGAGATCACTTGAAGACACAAAGCCTCTTTTGTTTCATTTCACCATGTTTTATGTTGCTATTTAGCAAACCTTACCCAAATGACCATACTTTTAATACTCCCTGGAAACACTGTGAGAGTGGAATGGCTGTGACTCAGAAGGAATTGCTTACCATGAATTGGGTTTGAGAAAGTACATTTTGACTTGTTTTCCTGAGGGAAAATCTTGTCTTTTGGCCATTGGAATAGTCCCCCAGGGCAGCCGTAACAAAATACCAAAGGTTTATAGGACAGTCATTTCTGCTCTGACAGTCTGGAGGTTTGAAGCCCAAGATCAAGGTGTCTGCAGGTGCATTTCCTGCTGAAGTCTCTCTCCTTGCCCCCAGCTGCTGTGCCTTGAGGTGTTTATCTGGGGAAGTGCACCCCTGTCCCTTCTTTGTGGACTGAAACATCCTCACCTGTAAGGATGCTTCTTAGGCTGAGCTGGGGCTCACGTCACCTTCCTCACCTACTTAAAGACCCCATTTCCAATTACAGTCACATTTGGAGGTGCTGGTGGTGAAGGCTTGAATATATGAAATCTGGGGAACACAATACAGACCATACAATCATTTTATCATATCGCTTAGATTTCTTTCCCAACTCTTCTTTCAGGCTGTGTTGTTAATAGGTGAACAGGGGACAGCCAAGACGGTCATCATCAAAGGATTTATGTCAAAATACGATCCGGAAAGTCACATGATCAAGAGTCTGAATTTCTCTTCTGCAACCACCCCTCAGATGTTTCAGGTACGGCCCGTGGGTGCTGTGGGCAAAGCCACGTTCGTGATAAACGTCGGACACTTAACTCTCTGGGCTGTTTGGCTGTGCCCACAGGGCGCGTCTGCTCTTCGCTTTATTATTCATTTGCGGAGGAAACTGTACCTAGCAAGATGATAATACGTAAGCTTACACTGTAGGGGGGACAATATATTAGGCAGGGAAAGGCCTAACACTGTTTAAAATGTCCATGTAAAAAGGTATGAACACGGAAAATCCCAAAATGAGAGAAATACTTGTTCCCCCGGTCCGGCAGCGGCCAGGGTACTGTTATTCCAGCCATTAGCCTGGAATCCAGGTGTCATCTTTTAAAGATTTATTTATATATGAATACAGAACTGGGGTACAGGCTAGAGGTGCAGGGGCAGTGAGAGGATTCACCAGGGACAAAGTGGGGAGCAGAACAGGTAGATCGTTGAGGTACACTGCTGAGGGGAGCAGTGGGCGGGTCAGGAGAGGTCTGCTGCACCATTTGGATCACCTCTGGGCTGGGGATTGAACTCATGCTGAAGTGGCTTTAGCTTCTTAGTGCTGCGCTTTAACCCGCTGCGCCACCAGGGAGGGCTGGTGTCATCTTTGATGTGTCTCTGTTGATACATCAATGTAGTAACAGTAACAAGTCTCTTACATTTAGACTGCTTCTGTCAGTGAAACTGGCCAAGAATGAGGTAGGTTTGGAGTGGCTGGCTGGTTCTTTTTCTCTGTCGCTAGTTGCTTAAGACAACTAGTTCCATTGAAGCTGAGGAAGAAGTGGTCATGTTAATGTAGCTAAAGAAACACTTTTCGTGTCTCTTTTTTTTCATTCTCCCTGTCCACCTCCACACAGTCTTCTTCGCAATTCCACTCTAGGCTATGGGTGTTGAAACCCCGCCCACCCCGGCCCCCAGCCCCGCCCCTGGCCTGGGCTCAAGGCTGATTCTCTTCCAGTCTCTAGTTCCTACATGGCCACTTTTATCTTGTTGCTTCCTGACTTCATATTCCATAATGATGTGTGTTGTGCTTTATCCATTGCAACAAAGGATAACATGTTGGAAGCTTATACTTAGTCACATCTTTGAGGAGTATCAGTAACAAATCTCTTAAGTTGGCACTGCTTTTGTTGAGTGCAGACTTTTGCCAAGAGTGACATAGGCTGGTTCATTTTTTGCCATTGCTAAGTTGTTTAAGACTCCGTGGAAACTGGGGAAGAATTCCTCCATGTCAGCACATGCTTCCGTTATTTGCAGGTCCAATGTCATTAGAACATTAATGCATGAACAGCTGAGAAAGGTTTCATAAGTTAAAAACGGAAGGGAGCTTTTGGGAGGATTCCAAATCCAAAGAACTTTCCTTTTTTGATTAACCTTATTGTCCTGTAGTTATTGGAATGGAAACACTAAAGGACAATGAAGATTGTTGAGAGCATGAATAAGTCATGACTTTTTATCACTAATGTAATTGGTGAATGCAGAATGCCAATAAGTGAAGGCCATTGATTAAGTTTCTAAATAAGACTGTCAAACCACATTATGCTCCTCTGTTAGAGATGGGATTTCCAATTACGGTTAACCTTCTATTAAATGTGGACCACTTGCACAGTCTTGTGGTAGGAAGGTGTGGGTGGAAGGTCACCTCCAAACTGTAATGACTCAGCGGTGGTATTTTTGTGTTTGGGGAGCAGTATATTCGCATTACCCTAGGCTAGAGAAATGCTAATGCTGTATGCATTTCTTTGATATTGCTTCACTTTTAAAGAATTCTAATTAGTTTCACTTAAAGAAAATTTACTCTTTAAACATTCTACTTTTACCTTTAACAAGTATGCTTAGATTATATAGTAACTTACCAGTCTACTTACAGATCACAGTCATCTTACAGATGCAGGTTATAAAATGTTACGGCAAATTGTGAGTCTCATATTATATAGAGGAATTGTCTAGGTATTCACATTTCTTGAGACTGGATTCAACTTCAGAGTTGAATGCAATTCCGATAATAATGAGTTGGCCTTGGTCTGACCTCACCTGCAAGACTTTCTCTGCGATGCCCCTGGCTGCAGGGGCACAGACTCCTGGGACTTCTGTTCTGCAGAGCAACTGTCTCTGAATTCAGGAGATTCCAGGGCTCTGTTTCAGTATTTCCCTAGAATGACTCATGGAACTCAGGAAGGTCATATGCCTGTGAGCATGTTTTTATTATGAAATATATGAATGAAGCTCAGTCAAAAGATGTATTGCAGAAGGCAAGGTTTGCGAGGGCCCTCGTGTGAGCCTTCTGTGTTCCTGGGTGCATTACACCCTCCAGACACATGGACACATAACCCCTGTGGGCACTTGTGTGAGCTCAAGGTTCAGAGGTTTTATTGAGGTTTAGTTATATGGATTGATTTGGCATGATTGATTGAATTATTAACCATATGATTGAACTTAATCTCAACGTTACTCAATCTCCAAACCATCTCCTCCTGGAGATGGGCCAAAGCTCCCCCCACCCCAATCACATGGCCTCTTTCTGGCAGAAATGGTCAGAGGGGATGATCATAATGAACAAAGGTATAATCCAAGGTATATATTTTTTAGCATTATTGAAATGCATTGATTGAAATTGAATATCAATATGCTTACAAATAATTACTTAAAATCTTCTTCCCACCATCTTTCCTTATGTCCTTTTCATCCTTTCTTCCTGTCACTCTTTCTTAATCTCAGAACTCTCCGTTTATTAATATCTGCTAAATTTCATAAGCATTTATTTTCTCAAGTTGTTTACTATGTCAATGTCCAATATTTGTCTTTGTCGTTCTGACTTGTTTTTCTACACACAACCGCCTCAAACACCTTCCATTTGCAGTACATGATGGCATTGCATCTTTCTTTAGGGGTGAATAGTATTCCCTGGCTTTATGACGTCTTTTTTTTTTCATTGATGTGACGCTGGTTTACATCATTGTTTGTCTTGAGTTTCGGGACCTCCCTCTACAGGTGGCGTTACCACACGTCAACCACCACTAAGCCATCATGGTCCCTTCCCTTCTGTTCTTGCCCCTCCCACTTCTCCTGCTCTGCTTGCCTTAGTTCTACAGTCAAATTTCCAGGGCTTGTTACTGGTCTGGCTTTATCTATGTTCGACCTGGATGTGACACCATCCAATATTTGTCTTCTGACTTATTTCACCTGGTGTAATCCCTCCAGTTCCATTCTTGTGACAAATGGCAAGAGTTTACCTTTTTTCAATGGTTGAATGGCATTCCATGGGGTTTATATTACATCTTCCTGATCATCTGTTCTTGAGCATGTAAGCTATGTCTGTAACCTGACTATTGTAAATAATCCTGTGCTGAACATCAGTGCACATAAGGGAACTCCAGAGGTATAAAGCCCCTCCATTGAAACGGGGACAAAGACCTTGTGAACTCTATTATATAACAAGATCTTTTTAATTTTTTTAAAGATTTATTTTATTCATACAGAACTGGGGTACAGGTCAGAGGTGCAGGGGTGGGCTGAGGGGAACAGCGAGTGGGTCAGGAGAAGTCTGCCACGCCATGTGAGTCACCTCCGGGCCGAGGATCCAACTCGCACTGAAGCGGCTGCGGGTCGCTTGCAGTGCTGTGCTTTAACCCACTGCGCCACCGGGGAGGACCCGGAACTGTGCTTTTGTCATTAACTCTTGGTGATATTTACACTGTCAAGGCAGTAAAAATCATGATCTATATCTATATCTATATCACATGACTAATTTCTTTAAAAAAGCTACACACTGGCCCTCCCTGGTGGCGCAACAGGTTAAAGCGCAGCACTGCAAGTAAGCCCCATGAGTTCAATCCCCACCCCGGGGGTGACCCCCAAGGCGCTGCAGACCTCTCCTGGCCCGCCCGCTGCTCCCCTCAGCAGTGTGCTTCACCCATCTACCTGTTCTGCTCCCCACTCTGTCTCTGGTGAAGCCTCTCAACACCCCTATTGCAATACACTTTCAGAGTTGGCACCAAATTGAAGTCCAGTACTTCGGAGAATAATAAAGCAGGTTTTGAAATGTAAAAACTCACTATTTTAGAGTCCTGCTCCTGGGTCTCGTGACTTCTGCCCAGCCCCTGCCTCTCCTTCCGTGCGAAGGTTAGTGCCAGTGCTTCCCTGCTGCTCTCTCTGCTCCGAGCATCCCAGGATGCTCCACTGGGTCTCGCGCCTGTTTGGGCTTCTGAGCATCAGGGCTTTCTATTAAGCGAGACTCATTAGCTTTCGAAAGCTTTCAATTAGCCAAACTGCTGTAATTAACTTTCTCGCTGTAATTTTCAGCCAGTCACACTAAACAGGGCTGATGGAGTCGAGCATGTATCTCGCTGTCGCTCATGTAGCTGGAGCCAAATCAAACTGAATTACAGATGACAACATTGACACTGCCCACCCCTGGTGCCCCCACGTTGTCTGCTCAAGGACGTAGGTCTGGCCAAGGACACATCTGTTACGTGATTTCCTGGCCTTTCGCTAGGCTGTCTCACATCTTCGATAAGTGGGAGAACTCACTCGACGTCTCCTTTTTGCCCTGGGTGGTTTCTTTTCCTCATCTTAGGTTAATGATTATGGACAGCTGCTGTCACTGTCAAGTGTGTGGACTGAATGAAAACTTTATAGTCACCCTATGTTTTGGATAGATGAATTCATTTGGCTTTTTGAGAGGGAGGTCTCTTTTTTCTTTTTCCAAAGCAAATATTGTTTTAATGCTTTCCTGCTTTTGAAAGTAATCCATACATAGCTTAACGAATTCAAATGAGGCTACATGGTAAGAAGGAGAAAGTGAAAATGAATTAGGAACATTTCCGCAAAGTTTGATATCTTCTAAAGACAATCTCAGAGCGTTTTGAACATCAACCATTTTGCAAATGAGACAACAGCTTTTTAAAATGAAAATCATAGAGCTAGGAAAGAAATTCCACATTTCCCTCGAGACTCAGAACCACTATCCCAAATGACATCTTATGCAAGAGATTAATCGGG